AACCTTGGCGTCAGTTTCAGTCGGTCCAGTCCACACACTAATGTAAACAGCAGCGCGCTGGTCTCGTGAGAAACGGAGAGTGGAACAACCAATCACATCTTCATTATTCTCCTGAAATTTAAATGTGCCCATTCGCTTGTCTGACACATAGACTATAAAGGTCTGGTCTGACAGGTGCGTGGTTCTCACTGCGCTTCATACCGGTGCAACTTTGAACACCTTCAATATATGCCGCATTAATGGATTTGGCCTGCAGTCACCGCATCTGGGCTGAATTAAACACGTATTATTGTAGTCCTGTGTGTTTATTAGAGGCCATGTCAGCAGGCCACATCATATTATGCCAGCGTTGCGTTCACAAGACATACAAGCCACAAACTGGCAATCGAAACATGCCACAACCTGAGGGACAGTGAATGAGACACACAGACACAGACACACCCACACACACCTTGAGGGAGGGAGGGACAGCTGATCGCCGTGCAGCAATCAGCTGTTCCCGAGCAGAGAGAGAGAGAGAGAGAGAGAGAGAGAGAGAGAGAGAGAGAGAGAGAGAGAGAGAGAGAGAGAGAGCTGCGTCACAGAGCAGACTCTTTTTGAGCATGTAATAAGCATTTTTTGTCTTGACTATATTACAACTATATTATAATAAAATAATATAGTATTTATATTATTGAATTGATTATCATTATGATTATTATTATTAGTAGAAGTAGTTTATTTGCATTAATTATATTTTAATCTTTTTGAGGCTAGTATTTGGCAGACGTATTCACCTAACGCATACTGAACTACATACATGCACATTTACCATTTACCTCACTGTATAAAAAAGTAACTGTGTTGATAATAATAATAAACAGGAATTATATTTGCAAAGTACTTTGTTTCCAAAGCGGAAACCTCACCTCAACCCAAACCACATGCCTGAAGTTCACATGAGATCAGACTGCAGTTTAATGCCACTCATAAAACATTCCCCTGATCTGAGGAACACAGTTTAGTGAGGAATCTAATGTTCCAAGGGTGGGGCTGAAGAGCATTTACTATACATTGGAGCACCAGAGACAATCACTACACTTGATTTCTCTCCATGGGTCTGCACCGTGGAGTCCTTACATACAGAGTTAACAGTTTGAAGACAATGCATCCCAGATACTGTGTTACCTGACTGAAAGAAGTCATGAGGAAAAAGCATGGATTTTTTGGAGATATTTGTAAACCACCTCAGGTCTGGAAAATATACGACTGCAGGGGGTTTTCTTATTCATTAAAGAGCTGAGAAAAGACCACAGTCAAAGTGAAGTAGTCATGACCGCAGAAAGCATTGCATTTATTTGACAAAATGAGTTACTAGTTACTTTACAAATACAAATGATTAGATTAAACAAAATATGAATAAACAGTGATATATCATTATTATTATTATTATTATAAGATATCCAGCAGCAGTATATAAAGTAAACCTTGCTCCACTTTTAACAGCTGTGATGAACACATTAACGTAAACAAAATGAAAGAATCCAGTAATTCAATATAAGATTCTAAAATGGGACATTGGGCGCAGTAAGTACTTTTACTTTTGGTACTTTAATTATTTTTTGATGCCAATATGTCTCAGTTTATGCTGCTTTATACTTCTACTCGACAGCTTTTAGTTACTAGTTAGATATAGATTAGTAGATCATTCAAAATATAAATCAGTTATTAAATAGACTTTGACAGATATTTATAGGATAAGATATCCAGCAGCAGGACATACAGTTGCTCAAATTAGCTCTACATTTACTAACTGTGATAAAACACATCAATAATCATTATAGTAACTCAATATATATATATATATACGATTCTGAAAAGGGCCATTATGCATAAGGAGTACTTTTACTTTTGATACTTAAAGTATATTTTGATACCAATGCTTTTGTACTTTCACTTGTAGTAATTCTACTTTTACTTTAGTAGAATATCTGAGTACTTCTTTCACCACTGCCACCATGAGTGTGGAGCTGTGTGCTACGAAAGCCTGAATTTAAAACAAATATTTTACAGCTGAAAACTGTTTTCAAATGTAGAGCAGGTTGTAAGCGAGGCTCCGTTTGTGAATGAGGAAACAGTTCAGAGTGTCTGCTCCTCCTGCTGGAATGAGTCAGAGTTTGATAAGCCCTCCCTCTTCTTCCTGCTCTCAGACACAGCCAGCTCCACTCTGTATTTCCTGGTTCCTCCCCTTTAGATCCACACTGAGGAGGATGGGTGTAACCAATATGTGGGTAAAGAACAAGAGCTGATAGGCCACATTCACTGCACACACCCATGCTGTTCAGATCACAGCTCACATAGTTTCAGGTTTCAGGAAGTGAAACTCAGACACTCGCTGCCACTGAGAGGGGAAATGGCGCAGAAAGGAGTTCAGCTGGACCGGGAAACCTTCTCTTGTTCGATCTGTCTGGATCTACTGAAGGATCCGGTGACGACTACCTGTGGACACAGCTACTGCATGAAGTGTATTAAAGGCTTCTGGGATGGAGAGGATGAGAAGAAGATCCACAGCTGCCCTCAGTGTAGGCAGAGCTTCACACCGAGGCCTGTCCTGCTGAAAAACACCATGTTAGCAGCTTTAGTGGAGGAGGAATGGACAAACGTCTCACTGACTGAAGTGGATGTTTTACTGTCAGCAGCAGAGCCCACCACCAGAGCTGGGTTCTTAAAATATTCACAGGAGATCACTCTGGATCCAAACACAGCAAACACACTGCTGGTATTATCTGAGGGGAGCAGAAAAGCAACACGCATGGAACAACAACAGTCTTATTCTAGTCACCCAGACAGATTCACTCATTGTTCTCAGGTCCTGAGTAGAGAGAGTCTAACTGGACGTTGTTACTGGGAGGTGGAGTGGAGAGGGGGAGACGTTTCTGTAGCAGTCGCATACAAGAATATCAGCAGAGCAGAGGATGGAAGTGGATTTGGACTCAATGACAAATCTTGGTCCTTAGAGTGTCAACAAAACAGTTATTTATTTCGTTACGACAATATCAAAACTCCCGTCTCAGGTCCTCAGTCCTCCAGAGTAGGAGTGTACCTGGATCACAGAGCAGGTATTCTGTCCTTCTACAGCATCTCTGAAACCATGACTCTCCTCCACAGAGTCCAGACCACATTCACTCAGCCGCTACATGCTGGAGTTTGGCCTTATCATGATGGAGCCACAGCTGAGTTTTGTAAACTGAAATAGCCTGAAGTCATTTGAGGAACTCTTCTACTTCTTAAACTCATTGTGTATCCATCATTGTTGCTGAGAGCTGATTGTTCATGTCTTCACTGCACAGAGATCAGCTGTCAATCAAACATTATGGGATGTGCTTTAACATCTTCTCATGAGTTGTTCTGTAGATGTTGGAGTTTCTTTAGGCGGCGCTCCTTCCTGTGTCTGTTTAGCCATGGAGGCTGTCACTGCTCAGGAGGATTTCTGTTAACCTCAACTCATATTTCTCTGCATGGAAATGTAAACTTTGCTCTAAATATTTGTTGAATATCGATATTGATGTATTTGTATGTTGTTGTTTCTCTTGTAAAGCATGAGAGAGAGAAAGCACCAGAGCTTCTTTCATTGTAGATATTTTATTCTAAATGTCTTTTATTTTTGACTAAGTCTCAATGTGTTGAATGCATCAATGAAAGTTTGAAGAAGGAAAGAAAACACATTCAAAGAAAAGCTACCAGGTTGAGTTTGTAATAAATGGTGTTTCTATGTTCAAGATGTGAGATGAGTGCCACATTTACATGTCTGTACAAAATAAAATGTTGGAGTTTTTCTTGTTAATAAAAGAGCTAAGAGGACACAAGTGAAAATCTCAGTCTTTGTTTGTAATCTTAAAATGAATGATCTCTCCTCTCCAGTGAAGCTGCACTAAGTTGAGTTGAATTTTTAATACATGTAGTTCTTGTTTTACTGCTACGTCCCCAATAATCTCTAGGACAAAAAAGGAGACGGTAACACACGACAACAAATAACATTGAGAGAGTCGGGGGGGAAAGTGAACACAAGTGCATTTATTTACACCAAAGAATGGAGAGGACGAAACGTCTATGGAAGAGGGTTAGGAACATGTGGAGAAATGTGAGATCTGAACTAAAGTGATATTTGTTTTATGTTTCAAGATTTTAGTCAGAATATTGAGAAACAAGTCAGAATTCAGAATATTTTTAATAAATCTTTTTCTTAAGAACATTTTTTTTCTGAAAATCTCAGAATTCAGAATAAATATATTTTTTTATTCCTTTTTTTTTATGAAATTACAGAAATCTGAGATTAAAGTTAGGAAAAAAATCACTTTGGTCAGACCTCAACATGTTCTTTACTAGTGAAAGTCAGAATTCTGATTTAAAAAAAAAATTCTTTTACAAAAGAAATTCAGATTTTCAATTTTTTTTAAAGAAAATCTCAGAAATCTGACTTTTTCTTAAAATATATTTTATTTATTTTCATGAAAACCTTCAGAATTAGTTTTCATAGATCTGAGATTTAAGTAAGAATTTTGATTTATTACTCAAAAGAAAAAATCAGTTTTGGTCAGGTCCAAAAGATAAATCCACATGTGGTCCTAATCCTCTTCTGTATTTCAGAAAAGCAGAAAAGCATTGTTACCAGGATGAGAGAGGATGCTAGATCTGCCTGAAACTGTCTCCTGTTCAGCATCTCCTGCTTTGGCATCTTTAGAGCTTTGCAGAAATGACATCCTCTGTGATATCTGGAGCAGAGAAATCAGTATTGGGACTGATCAAATATTTTTTCAGCCAGCGATACCTGTCACGGGGCTTGGTGTGTTTATTTGGTTGGGGCTCGATGTCCACATAATCACTGACTGGGCGGCCATTGGGTTCAGATAAGAGATAAGATAAGATACATGTAGTACTTTATTGATCTCAATTTGGGACATTGTTGTGTTGCAGCAGCATAAAAGACATGGCATTGAACAATAACGATTAAAAAAGACTAGAAATAAACAAGAAAGTAGAAAATATACATGTTGACTTTACACATTAACAATGACAAAAACAAAATATAAAGCAAGTTATTATATGAACATAAGTACATGAGGGATGGATTGTTGTTGGCTTTCTTTGTCCACTTGTCCACAGGCATCTTCTTCTGCCTCTTCTTCACTCATAGCAGTGTCACTGTCCTCTGATTCCATCTCAAAATCACTTTTTGGATGGAGGAGCAAATGTTTCTCGAGACATTAATCAGAGTAAGTCTGGCTCACCCCATTTGTCTCCTGCAAAGGATCCGTCTTCCTGCTGCAGCCCTTTGATGTACTCCACCACTTTGTCCACATCGAGAGCATCCACACTGTCGTACAAGCACAGGATCTGCAGAAAGGAGTAAAACAGTAAATAGACTGAAAGGATTTGGGCTGCAGGCAGGGCACTTGTACCTGTAGCCAACGCACACATTGAACCGTTTAGCTGGGAGGTAAATACTCATAACATTTGAATCAAAAGGATCCTTCAGAAGAACAAATGCTTTAAAAACACAGATACTGAGGCTGAGAGAGAGAAAGAAAGAGAAAGAGAAATAAAATCTATAAGAAACAAAATTATTGTATAGTTCTGTGTCCTCCAGGATCAAAATCCATTAAAACATACTTAAAATGTCTGCTTGCATCAACTTTGAATCAAAGCAAAGTATACTATCTTTTCCGTTTGTTGGCGACATTTCCAACTTCTCTCATCCACAGAAGTTGATGAGAAAAACAAGAATAGGTTTAGCAATCTGTCACATTTCCTGTTGGCTGTCTGAGGAGTCACCTGCACGGCGCTGAGGGTGTACAGCAGGTGGGGGTCGTGTCCGATGCTGGCGCTGAGGCCTCCACACTCGTGCTGACAGGATTTGATGAAGTCTACGATCTCCGGCCGGTTCATCCGGGGCAGCTGCGCCATCAGGTCCATCACCGTCAGACCCCAGTAGATGCCGCTCATCCGCAGGTACTCTGACAGTGTGTACTCCAGAGGCCTGTACTACGAAGCCGGATTTTCCTAACCTGGATATGTTTGAGTTAGCCGGTTGGCCCAATCCAAAACATACGCGCTCTCGCTAAGCTGTACTACGACGCTGGTTATCAAGTGGATCGCTCAAGCCAGCCGTGTCCTATCTAGTTAGGTGCGCGTTCACATGAAAGGGGTGGTATTTGGAGCATTCGACCAATCACAAACACGGACAAGCGTACTGACAGCGCAGCGTCATACTTCCTGAATGAAAAGTGAACTTTAATATTAGTCAAATATGAAGAAGTTAAACTTTAAACATCCATGACTTAAACACTTTATCCAGGATAAAAGCCACATAGCTGCACCTGCAAGGTGAATACAGCTGGTAAAAGAAAAAGTGTTTGAATGCGTACATTAACAGGTTTATGATATCACTGCCCCGTCCAAGACACGAGTGGATCTGACTTTAATTACATTTGACACAAGTGTTTCGTCAACTTAATGTGTTGCTTAAAATAATACTTCTGCATACAGTATGTGACACTGTGAGTGTTGCACGGCCAGATACGGCTCAAGAAGCTGACTCAAATAAGGAAATATATGATACATTATGATGTGATATGATATGAATGATAATGGGACACATCGACGTCTGCACTCACAGTGCCGCGGACTGTACTTAATGTTACTCTGATCCGGTTACTTATGTTGTGGCAGATATTTAAGTAAGCTTTCTTAACGCTAATGTTATAATAGTCAGATTGCTCTGAAGATGGGAGGGGATATTCTATTAATTTGCACGTTCACACAATCAGTTGATTTTGGCCGGCAGTCTTTCCTGCAAAGGCAGTTTTTCTGTATTTCCTCTATCCTGTAATATGACTTGATCGCTTTAAACTCCGCACACGGAGCTCTGATTGGTCAGCAGGCGGTGCTTTCACTGAGTTAATCTCTTAGCCTGCAACCTAACCTCCTCCCGAGGAGGTTAGCCGCTCAGCATAAGTTACCATGGAGATCTAGCCCGCTAAAAAGAGAACCAGCGTCGTAGGACCGAAAAGCCTGAGTTTTCCCTGAAGTCAGCCGGCTAAGCGAAAATCCGGCTTCGTAGTACAGGCCTCTGGACAAACACAAACAAACAGGAAAGATAAACAGTGCAGCAGGAATGAGTCCAAAAACCCGGGAATGAGTCAGCATTATTGCACTTATGGGTCCCTCATCTCAAAATCTATGGGATCTTTTATGGGTTTTTGGTTAAATCCCTGGTCTGTGGTAAAGACAATCTTAGGAGATTTTAAGTGTTTTTTTTCCAGAATGAATGTTCCTAGGTTCCAAGACTAGCCTTAGCATTATTCTCTTTACTTAACAATGTTGGAAGAGGTTGGTAAGGCCATTCACAGATCAAGCAAGGAAATTGAAGTGAGAGTTTTGAATGCAGTTATTACAGTCAAAATATGTTCAGCCACTTTGGAAATATAAACGCCCAAAGGAAAAAAAATGGTGGGTCAAAACCGATGCGGAGTAAAGTCATATTATGTAGATGAATGAGTGAATATGACAAGAAGAATTGTTGACATGCTGTGGTATATCTGCACATTTGATGGTGTCTGTTTCAAAGAGTAGATCAGTTTGCTTTTAGCTGAAGGTGGGTGATTTCAACTTATTGACCATGAAAAACATACATTGAACATTAACAATGGCCAAAAAAGCATTGCTTAAAACATGAATTCCTCTAAAAAGTGTCCTTCATGTGTCATATAAAGATAAAATACACTTGGGGAACATATTACCCTGGGAACTAAAAGATACACTCTGAAAAAAACATCAATTAATCCTACAAAATGTCCTTTTACTCACATAGTCATCCTTTTTGGAGCCGTAGGCCGCGATGTAGTCTGCATGTTTGTCCAGCAGCAGAGAGCTGGGGGCGTCAGGCTTAATGATGACATCTTTCACTTGGGTACCCTGACATTGAACACATCACCACAATACTTATCAGAATCAGAATCAAGTGTTTTACACGTTTACATAAACAAGGAATTAGCTTTGGTGTATGGTGGTGCAAACATAAACAAAGAAAATATACAAATAATAACCTAAAAAGAAACTTAAGACAATGAATATATGACATACGACAGTGTATTATATATTTTAAACATGGCACAATTTCTAAATGACCTTGTTTCAATGATATACAACCACAACCTGCGTGTCAAGCCTGAAACTGACTAATATTATCTAGCGAAATTAGTGAAAATGAAGATAGTAAAGCAGTTGTTTTGGTATAATTTAGCTACATGCTAACTCTGATGCTAACCACTTTACTTAAGTTAGCTGTTTTCACAGGTAAGCGGTCAATGTAACGCTAAAGCTGAACATAACGGAGATAAGTGGACATGTTAATGCATTTCGGCTGTATTGTTATATAAAAATAAGCTGAGTAACGATGACATTTACAACATGATAACCGGTTACCATTCTGGAGATGTTCGCATGATCAGGCTACTTCTTCTTCTTCTGTTTTCTTTTTGGTAGCTGTCAAACTGGTTAAGATGCGCATTACCGCCACCTAGTGGGGACACGGGATTATGCAGGAGAAAATCACTTGGATGCTTTTAGAATCAGATATAACAATACAAAATCCCTTTTCGTTTCACACATGTACAATGGTGTTACATGAGTGGATATTATACATTGCACATGGTGGTGTTACAGTCTGTATTGTGTGGTGGTCAGTGGTGGAAAGTAACTAAGTACATTTAATCAAGTATTTTACTTGAGTGCTTTCATGTTATGCTGCTTTATACTTCTCAGGGCCGTCCCTCCCTACAGGCCGATCATGCAGGCTGCATGGGGCCTCACATTGCGCAGGGGGCCTCACATTGCGCAGGGGGCCTCGTGCAGGGGGCCTTGGCTTATGAGCTTGGCTTGTGCGCAGCTCTCAGCGCAGTTCTCAGCGCAGTTCTCCGCGTAATATAGTATTTATATTATTGAATTGATTATGATTATTATTATTAGTAGAAGTAGTTTATTTGCATTAATTATATTTTAATCTTTTTGAGGCTAGTATTTGGCAGGAAATGCAGACGTATTCACCTGTAAACGCATACTGAACGACATACATGCACATTTACCATTTACCTCACTGTATAAAAAAGTAACTGTGTTGATAATAATAATAAACAGGAATTATATTTGCAAAGTGCTTTGTTTCCAAAAAAAAGAATTTCACTCCTGTTGGTGGGGTGGGGGGGGGGCCTCATCTCACAATGTCGCTTGGGGCCCCAAGTTGGCTGCGGAAGCCTCACCTCAACCCAAACCACATGCCTGAAGTTCACATGAGATCAGACTGCAGTTTAATGCCACTCATAAAACATTCCCCTGATCTGAGGAACACAGTTTAGTGAGGAATCTAATGCTTTTAGTTTAATTTGCTGGAATCATAGACTGTATACATAAAGGGTGGTATATGAATGGGTTAAGAGGCAACGCTGCTACTCTGTGGTTAATGCGGGATATGGCATGCAGACAGATATGATGTCAGATGATATGAATGCCAATCCTCTGTTTAACAATTCTGAGCTTTAGTTTTCTTACAGGTAACAGGGGATTTGAACGTTTTCTGTTTAACCGTAAATGGTTTGTACCTAACATGTTGAGTATATAGTGCACAATCTCAAACTCATACACTACAAATAAAATAGAATAGAATATAATTCCTGACCTGTCCGGTGGTGATTATCAGATGTGAAGCTGCTGGGAGTTTGTTCCAAGGGTGGGGCTGAAGAGCATTTACTATACATTGGAGCACCAGAGACAATCACTACACTTGATTTCTCTCCATGGGTCTGCACCGTGGAGTCCTTACATACAGAGTTAACAGTTTGAAGACAATGCATCCCAGATACTGTGTTACCTGACTGAAAGAAGTCATGAGGAAAAAGCATGGATTTTCAGTTTTTACTGCCTTGTGAGTTCATTTTCAGGAGATATTTGTAAACTACCTCAGGTCTGGAAAATATACGACTGCAGGGGTTTTTCTTATTCAATAGCCGCGTTCACACCAAGTACTTTCCTGTACTTAGTTCCGGCACTAATGGCGCATTTCCATTGCAGCGCGTAGCTCGCTTTAAGCGTGCCGTGTCGTGCCGTCCCCTTTTTTGGTTGTGCTTCCACTAGGCCTCGTTCCGGCGCGGCACGGCGCGGGGCCACTTTTTCCCCTCTTTTCTGGCCCTAGAAAATTGTGGTTCTATCGGGGCCAACAAACAGGGCTGAGTCGGGCTGAGTATGCTAAACTAGAGAGAGGAGCGCTGGCAAGAGGGCTAGAACTACAACAAGATGGACATATTTGACCGTGATTTAATTGTAATACACGTTTCAAAATGATGCCGAAGTAACAACATACTGATACCGGTTAGTAAAAACCATGAATTAATGCTTTGTCAAGTCTGCAGACAGACGGCAGGCGAAAAACCTTTTAAAATTCGTGTTTTTCTAGATGGAGATTGGCTAAGCTAACGCAGTATATGCCCCGACCGTCCACACTCACAACAACGGCCTATACAGACATAAATAAGGCAGCGACTGTATTCACCATGACACAGGCAGTCTGTGGTGTGTACTTGTTTAACTTTTGTCGAGTTTCTGAACATATATAAGGAGCTGTGAGCTCTGAGTGCTCACAGCTAACGGCTGTGTTGTGTTTCTGGATTTCTCATTGAAGATGACGTCACGGCTCCGCCTACACTGCGTTACTATAGTAACTACCCCAGTTCCTAAACTGTAATGGAAGCGCAGCATGAAGTGAGTCGGCCCTGTTAAGGCCCAACGCGGCCAAGCCGTACCGAGCCGTACCGAGTGTGGCCGAGGCCGACCGTGTAGTGGAAATGCGCCATAAGAGCCCCGGCGCTTTTAACCCCAGGGCACTTAGTACAGATCGCGTTCACACCGGAGTACTTTTCCCTGAGGGAAGATTACGCAAATGAGCCGCTGACGTCACTTCTTCTTCTTCTGCTTTGGCTTTACTGGCAGGCCACAAACCACTTCACGGCGAGTACAGTAGGTGGCGGTATGCACCTTAAAGTTGTTTGCAATCCGCTGCAAAACAAGAGAAGAAGAAGAAAAACTTCCCGCGTATACTGCGACGCCCACCCACTCGCTGTGTACATTAGGCGTCTGTTGTTTACCTTCCGACCTCAGACATGATGGAGATGGAGTCGACTGAAGTTGTGCTGTTTGTGCTCATGTTATACAGCTTTGTAACTGAGTTAATGCAGCCTGAGCAACTTGCGTACAATAACAAAACAAGCCGAGCACGAGTGGTGGTGGAGAACGCTTTTGGCAGACTGAAGGGCAGGTGGCGGTGCTTGATGAAAAGAAACGACTACAAGATCACAATCCAGGTGGCAGCATGTTGCATATTACATAACCTTTGTGAAAGTAATGAGTACAGGGACGAATGGACTGCCTTACCGGCGACCCAGCTTTATGAGGCATCTGAACAGCGTGTCAATTGTAAACATTTTGACAATAAAGCTAATCTTTTGTACAGTGCTTGTTTCTCTTTTATTTTCCAGTCAAGACAGGCATCATTACAATAGTGTACAGTGTGGCAATATAATAACAATAAACTGTGCCAGGTGTGTTGTATGCACAGTAAATAGGCTCAGCAGCAAACCCACCGTTATTAGTATATATATATCTTCCTGAGACCCACTGCATCCGTCTGCCATAAACACTATGGAAACAAATGTTAGTTTCGGCCCATAGTGGACTCCATTTTCATGTTGTGTAAAATGGGGGGGGGGGGGAATTAAAGGTTTGCAAATCCCCATGTCCTCCTCAGAGGACAATCATAAAAACATTTAGTTTTAGGTCAAATAATATTTTAAATTATATAAATTATCATATTTGTGTATGTGCCCCTGCCATTCCTCCACAAGGTTGCAACATTGATGATAAATAAATGACAAATAAAGCTTTGCCAGTTTATAACCGATGAAACATGATGGTATCAGAATAATCACTTACATGTGATGTATAGGATGCTACACAGGTCACTAAAGATAAAGTGTCAGGAGAAATAAGCAAGCTACAGGATCTGTTTAACAGTAAATAGAAGTTCACATTTTTAATGTAAATAAAATAGATGTTGTACATGTAAATTAACATTATCAATATAAAATAAAGTGTCAGTTGTATCAAGACTATATAATAACAGTAATAACAATAATATAAAATGAACTGGTGAGCATCTTGTCCTCCGTTTCCTGGGCCTTGGTGAACAGCACCAACTGATCCCCGTGCATCGACTCTTTCACCACGGCACGCCGGTCCTCCAACGCCTGGACGGTGTCAAAGAAATTCGCATCCCGTGTCCGCTTTCCTAAGAGGGGAAAATAAGCAAGATACAAGATCTGTTTAGTCGCCATGTAGTTTTACAACATACTAGGAATGTGTTTTTTGTATTTTCACAAATAGAATTAAGGTTTCAGAAATCTGAAACTGTGTTATAAAGAATCTTTTGACTCTCTGGGATAATCCAGTCCAGATTTGATGAGTCTAGGTAGAGTGGTTTTAGATCAGGACCTGGTCTAATGTGGTCTACATGTAAAAAAAGCACTGAAATCTCCCTTTTTTGTATTTTTACAAATAGAATTAAGGTTTCACAAATCTCAAACTGTGTTATAAAGAATGTTTAGCCTCTCTGGGATAATCCAGTCCAAATAAATCGGCTATGCAGCGATTTAAGAGGTTCAAACACGGAGGATTGTGCTTCATGTATGCTTGAATTTTGTTTAATGTTGTTGAGGCAAGTTTTCGTACCGGAAGTCATGTGACCTCTAGCCCGGATGTTTACAATGTTTGTGAGAGACATTTGTAAATGCCGGTCTGCGAATACGTTTTCACGCTGTTTCATAATTGTACCAAGAAGGAAATAAACATGATTGTGAACATCAGTTCGATGCGTAACGTTCTTTCAAGACAAAGTTACAGTGTGTGTACCTTTGCGTTTGGTTGCTGGTAAGGGGGACGAGCTAGCGCTGTGATCTAGAATGCAAAGCTCGCTTGTTTCCAATCCCGAGAGTTGTCCATCCTCGCCTGAAACAGACGATTAGTGCCATGAGTTAGTGAAGCAAATTACAGAAACACTACACAGTTATTCACAAGTCAAAACGTTTTCATAGCGGCCGAGAATATCTAGCTAGCTAGATGTAGCTAGCTCGGGGCCGGTGTTAGCCTATTCAACCTAGCATGGCTAGCTTGATCTACTGAGCAAATAAAAGTACATCTGAGACCATTATTGTGCAGATTAAAACCCCAGTGCATGTAGTTGATTTTACCTTCGTCGTGGTCGTCATCGTTGGCCACTGAATCCGCCGTTTGTAGTCCTGCCCGAGTTTCTTTATTTTTAGCCGGTGTGTGCCGTGGCGCTGTGCACGATTCCCAGGTCGAGTGAAAGCTACTGAACTGGCTTCAGTAGCATTCCCTGGGTCGCGTCCTCGGCGTAGATCTCCAGAAGCGCCGACACCTCCTCATCATTTCTTGATGCTTGCCATAACTGCTTTCAAAAACAAACCCAACGCTCCGTCGGTGCGTTGGGATTTTGTAGCGAGGGAAAACAATGGCGTCTCCACACATCATTTTCACAGTTGTACGGGCGTGGTTTGCAATTCGCCCAGCCAATCAGCACTGGGGCACTTTTGGGGCACTTTTCACCCTCAGGAAAGTATGCTCTCTCAGCCGGCTCTAAAAATGGGGGTAAAAGTACCCGAGATTAAGTACAATTTTTGGTGTGAACGCGACATAAGGGGTACCAACGGAACTAAACGCGAAAAGTACGGTGAAAAGTACTCCGGTGTGAATGCGGCTATTAAAGAGCTGAAAAAAGACCACAGTCAAAGTGAAGTAGTCATGACCGCAGAAAGCATTGCATTTATTTGACAAAATGAGTTACTAGTTACTTTACAAATACAAATGATTAGATTAAACAAAATATGAATAAACAGTGATATATAATTATTATTATTATTATAAGATATCCAGCAGCAGTATATAAAGTGAACGTTGCTCCACTTTTAACAGCTGTGATGAACACATTCACGTAAACAAAATGAAAGAATCCAGTAATTCAATATAAGATTCTAAAATGGGACATTGGGCGCAGTAAGTACTTTTACTTTTGGTACTTTAACTATTTTTTGATGGCAATATGTCTCAGTTTATGCTGCTTTACTTCTACTCGACAGCTTTTAGTTACTAGTTAGATATAGATTAGTAGATAATTCTAAATATAAATCAGTTATTAAATACACTTTGACAGATATTTATAGGATAAGATATCCAGCAGCAGGACATAAGGTTGCTCAAATTAGCTCTACATTTACTAACTGTGATAAAACACATCAATAATCATTATAGTAACTCAATATATATATATATATATATATATATATATATATATATATATACGATTCTGAAAAGGGCCATTATGCATAAGGAGTACTTTTACTTTTGGTACTTAAAGTATATTTTGATACCAATGCTTTTGTACTTGTACTTGGTACACAGTATTTTTACCCTGTAGTATTTCTACTTTTGCTTTAGTAGAATATCTGAGTACTTCTTTCACCACTGCCACCATGAGTGTGGAGCTGTGTGCTACAAAAGCCTGAATTTAAAACAAATATTTTACAGCTGAAGACTGTTTTCAAATGTAGGGCAAGTTGTAAGCGAGGCTCCGTTTGTGAATGAGGAAACAGTTCAGAGTGTCTGCTCCTCCTGCTGGAATGAGTCAGAGTTTGATAAGCCCTCCCTCTTCTTCCTGCTCTCAGACACAGCCAGCTCCACTCTGTATTTCCTGGCTCCTCCCCTTTAGATCCACACTGAGGAGGATGGGTGTAACCAACATGTGGGTAAAGCACAAGAGTTGATAGGCCACATTCACTGCGCACACACACGCTGTTCAGATCACAGCTCACATAGTTTCAGGTTTCAGGAAGTGAAACTCAGACACTCGCTGCCACTGAGAGGGGAAATGGCGCAGAAAGGAGTTCAGCTGGACCGGGAAACCTTCTCTTGTTCGATCTGTCTGGATCTACTGAAGGATCCGGTGACGACTTCCTGTGGACACAGCTACTGCATGAAGTGTATTAAAGGCTTCTGGGATGGAGAGGATGAGAAGAAGATCCACAGCTGCCCTCAGTGTAGGCAGAGCTTCACACCGAGGCCTGTACTGCTGAAAAACACCATGTTAGCAGCTTTAGTGGAGGAGCTGAAGAAGACTGGACTCCAAGCAGCTCCTGCTGATCACTGCTATGCTGGAGCTGAAGATGTGGCCTGTGATGTCTGCACTGGGAGAAAACTGAGAGCCTGTAAGTCCTGCCTCGTGTGTCTGGCCTCTTATTGTGACAAACACCTCCAGCCTCATTATGACGCAGCTACGTTTAAAAAACACAAGCTGGTGGAGCCCTCCAAGAAGCTCCAGGAGAACATCTGCTCTCGTCACGACGAGGTCATGAAGATGTTCTGCCGCACTGATCAGCAGTGTATCTGTTATCTCTGCCCTGTGGATGAACACAAAGGCCACGACACAGTGTCAGCTGCAGCAGAAAGGACTGAGAGGCAGAGAGAGCTGGAGGGGAGTCGACTAAACATCCAGCAGAGAATCCAGGACAGAGAGAAGGAGGTGAAGCTGCTTCAGCAGGAGGTGGAGGCCTTCAATGGCTCTGCTGATAAAGCAGTGGAGGACAGTGAGAAGATGTTCACTGAGCTGATCCGTCTCATGGAGAAAAGAAGCTCTGATGTGAAGCAGCAGGTCAGATCCCAGCAGAAGAGGGAAGTTAGTCGAGTCAGAGAGCTTCAGGAGAAGCTGGAGCAGGAGATGGCTGAGCTGAAGAGGAGAGACGCTGAGCTGAAGCTGCTGTCTCACACAGAGGATCACAACCAGTTTCTGCTCAGCTACCCCTCACTGTCAGCCCTCAGTGAACCTACACACTCATCCAGCATCAACATCCGTCCTCTGAGCTACTTTGAGGACGTGACGGCGGCCCTGTCAGCAGTCAGAGACAAACTACAGGACGTCCTGAGAGAGGAATGGACAAACGTCTCACCGACTGAAGTGGATGTTTTACTGTCAGCAGCAGAGCCCACCACCAGAGCTGGGTTCTTACAATATTCACAGGAGATCACACTGGATCCAAACACAGCATGCACACAGCTGTTATTATCTGAGGGGAGCAGAAAAGCAACATACATGGGACAACATCAGTCTTATTCTAGTCACCCAGACAGATTCACTAATTATGTTCAGGTCCTGAGTAGAGAGAGTCTGACTGGACGTTGTTACTGGGAGGTGGAGTGGAGAGGGGGAGACGTTTCTGTAGCAGTCGCATACAAGAATATCAGCAGAGCAGGGAGTGGAAGTGGATTTGGACTCAATGACAAATCTTGGTCCTTAGAGTGTAAACAAAACAGTTATTTATTTCGTTACAACAATATCATCACTCCCGTCTCAGGTCCTCTGTCCTCCAGAGTAGGAGTGTACCTGGATCACAGAGCAGGTATTCTGTCCTTCTACAGCATCTCTGAAACCATGACTCTCCTCCACAGAGTCCAGACCACATTCACTCAGCCGCTACATGCTGGAGTTGGGCTTTATGCTGGAACCACAGCTGAGTTTTGTAAACTGAAATAGCCTGAAGTCATTTGAGGAACTCTTCTACTTCTTAAACTCATTGTGTGTCCATCATTGTTGCTGAGAGCTGATTGTTCATGTCTTCACTGCACAGAGATCAGCTGTCAATCAAACATTATGGGATGTGCTTTAACATCTTCTCACGAGTTGTTCTGTAGATGTTTGGGTTTCTTTAGGCGGCGCTCCTTCCTGTGTCTGTTTAGCCATGGAGGCTGTCACTGCTCAGGAGGATTTCTGTTAACCTCAACTCATATTTCTCTGCATGGAAATGTAAACTTTGCTCTAAATATTTGTTGAATATCGATATTGATGTATTTGTATGTTGTTGTTTCTCTTGTAATGCATGAGAGAGAGAAAGCACCAGAGCTTCTTTCATTGTAGATATTTTATTCTAAATGTCTTTTATTTGTGACTAAGTCTCAATGTGTTGAATGCATCAATGAAAGTTTGAAGAAGGAAATAAAACACATTCAAAGAAAAGCTAACAGGTTGAGTTTGTAATAAATTGTGTTTCTATGTTCAATATGTGAGATGAGTGCCACATTTACATGTCTGTACAAAATAAAATGTTGGGGTTTTTCTTGTTAATAAAAGAGCTAAGAGGACACAAGTGAAAATCTCAGTCTTTTGTTTTTAATAATAAAAATATTATTAAATTATTTTTCTGAAACAAGATATTTGAATTTTTTTATAAATATTGTATTTATCTGGAGGATCAAGAAAAATGCAATAAATTCAGATTTTCTCATGTATTTTCAGAAAAACATGTGAAAGCCTTTTAGCTGATGCAGCTCTTTTAGTAACCCTGCTCACGTTTCGTCAGGTTGGTGTAGATTTCTCTTCATTCACATGTGTGTTGGCACATTGCTGTTAACATGTTTCATCGTTTTTGAAGCTGCAGCACGTTACTCCAAGTGTTTGGGCCGATGTAGCGCGATTGCACCTACCTACCGGCCACCGTAGTTTTTACATTTTAAATGTAAGCATTGAGTTTAAAGTAATAAAAGGTAAAATAAATGTCTTCTTGTTCTTCAGAGAGCGATGTAAACTGCTGCAACACTTTTTAGACCATAAAGCCGGGAGGACATTGAAACCAGAGCTGAAAAAGGTATACTTGTACAAAATGAAAAAGGCATCTCTTGCTAAGATGTAGCAGGAAATAAATAACGGAGGATGGAGGCTGGTGAGCCGTTTCTCCACCAGCAGCAGTTTGATGTCAGACCGGTCTGACCGGAACAGGGAAGGAACTCCTGCGTCACGTTGTAAATGTTAAAGTCACACAGGGAACATTGAGCTTCTGTTCTTCTGTTTGTTTTGAGTGTAATGTAAGAGTATAAAGCGAGGCGTTTGTATCGATGAGACAACACAACAGAACTCAGGTATGAGTTTGAGGTTGTGTCAGCAGAAAGACAGCAGGTGTGTGTGTGTGTGTGTGTGTGTGTGTGTGTGTGTGTGTGTGTGTGTGTGTGTGTGTGTGTGTGTGTGTGTGTGTGTGTGTGTGTTTACTTGTGAATGTCAGGTGTGAGAGATAAAAATAATAATAATAATGCTCACTTTCAGTTTTCTATTTTAAACACCCCCCCCCCCCCCCACCCGTATGATCATAGGGCCACACTGCAGCAGGATCTACACCCAAAAGGCGTTTCTTTGCTGGTTAAATCGTGGAGCATGCTCATTGTAATAAAGAAAGAACACATTCCTTCTGATGTTAATGTTTGGATCCTCTGGATGTCTGAGGGTTTGCACCATTATGCCTACACGGTATCCAGCAGGCCTTCTCATGTAGAACAGTCCACAGAGCACTAAGAAGTTGAAAACGTCTTGACTTATAAAAACGAGCGAGTACATGATGAAGGAAACCATCAGCAGTGCTGCCCCAATAACTAAGACTAATGTGTGGTTAATGCACAGGCCAACAAATTGTATCAAGGAAAGAGCGACTGCAATCCCTGATTTGGCCACTGACAATGTTACTGAAGCAGCTCCTATCAGCTCAGGACCAACGGCAACTATCCTTCGCCTCGCGCCTGAACATGCAGATGAAAATCCTTTCAGTACCTTGGGCGCAGCAGCGACTATCCATCTATATGCCACAGAATAAATAGATGAAAAAACGTCTGGTACTTTAGGACTAACACCTCCTATTCTGTATACAGTTGTAGATCCTACCAACGGCGCAAAACTACCAAAAATTCTTCTTCGAGCAAAAGGAATAATGACTGCAATCCCTAAAAGAGTAACTCCTCCTATCACATATCTATTTCCAATCATGTATGTGATGTGAGCTCTCAGCTGTTCAAGTAGAGGAAGTCCACCTCCATTTGGGGTCTGAGGTGGCTGAGGCATCCAAGGGAGCCTGAGCAACCTGACAGCCTCACTTTGATGAACCTGTTGTGTTCCCTGACCACCCTGGACACAAGGGAGGAAAGTGCTAATGGGAGCATTTCTCCAGACTTGTGTGAAAGGCCAGTTGTTGTGTCGGTGACAACAGCAAGTCCGGGAAACTGGAGCAACCTCCTCCAACTCCTCTCCTGAGCTTTCTCCTCTTCTTAATTCATGATGCTCAGGTCTTTGCTGGTTGAACGGGGTCGCTGTGGGAGGACGAGGGTTCAGAAAATCCTTCACTCCCTTTGTGACATAAGTGCCCACAACATAACCAAGACAAAGGAACACCATGGCTATCACGGGTTATTTGTCTGTTTTGAATATGGAATAAAATTAATTAATTCTTGTCTCAGTGTCTGTCTTCAAAAGTGTCTCACTGAACACAAATGTTCTAATAGTAGAAGCAAGTAGATCCCTATGACGTCATCGTTCTTCCATCGCATAGATGACGTCACTGTCCTATGACGTCAGTGCGTCGCTGCTGGCGTCAAACAGCCCCGCCCCCTTTTACAGGTGAAAACAACAAATCGGCGCAGAGTGGAAAAATATACTTTCGTCAAGCTGCTGTGTTGCACTTTAAACAACAAAAAAGCTCCAGAATTACAAGTTTCTTTACTTCCAATTATAAAAAAAGGACAATAATAGAAGAAATCTTTGGCTTCAGACCGTTCACAGAGAAAACGAAAACAGTAAACAAACACTTGATCACAGTTAGCATCAATTATGATGCTAATGAGGTTACCGTCAGTCGTCAAAGTGCACAGTTGTAATGTTAAAAGTCAAGGTGATGAATCTAGATGCAGCATTAAAATATTAAACACTTTTAAAGTCAAAGAAATTCTGTTGTTTTGTGTTATTTTGATTAAGAACATTTTTTTTCAGAATTCAGAATAAATATATTTTTTTGTTCCTTTTTTTTAATGAAATTACAGAAATCTGAGATTAAAGTTAGGAAAAAATCACTTTGGTCAGACCTCAACATGTTCTTTACTAGTGAAAGTCAGAATTCTGATAAAAAAAATATTCTTTTACAAAAGAAATTCAGATTTTCAATTTTTTTTAAGAAAATCTCAGAAATAAAATATAAAATAAAATATATTTTATTTATTTTCATGAAAACCTTCAGAATTAGTTTTCATAGATCTGAGATTTAAGTAAGAATTTTGATTTATTACTCAAAAGAAAAAATCAGTTTTGATCAGGTCCAAAAGATAAATCCACATGTGGTCCTAATCCTCTTCTGTATTTCAGAAAAGCAGAAAAGCATTGTTACCAGGATGAGAGAGGATGCTAGATCTGCCTGAAACTGTCTCCTGTTCAGCATCTCCTGCTTTGGCATCTTTAGAGCTTTGCAGAAATGACATCCTCTGTGATATCTGGAGCAGAGAAATCAGTATTGGGACTGATCAAATATCTTTTCAGCCAGCGATACCTGTCACGGGGCTTGGTGTGTTTATTTGGTTGGGGCTCGATGTCCACATAATCACTGACTGGGCGGCCATTGGGTTCAGATAAGAGATAAGATAAGATAGTACTTTATTGATCTCAATTTGGGACATTGTTGTGTTGCAGCAGCATAAAAGACATGGCATTGTACAATAACGATTAAAAAAGACTGGAAATAAACAAGAAAGTAGAAAGATGTTGCGGCAGTGCACCGGTACCGGGGTCTCTCGGGCTTAACAGGTTAAGAAATATCAGTTTTTGAGCATGTAATAAGCACGTTTTGTCTTGACTATATTACAACTATATTATAATAAAACAATATAGTATTTATATTATTGAATTGATTATGATTATGATTATTAGTAGAAGTAGTTTATTTGCATTAATTATATTTTAATCTTTTTGAGGCTAGTATTTGGCAGGAAATGCAGACGTATTCACCTGTAAACGCATACTGAACGACATACATGCACATTTACCATTTACCTCACTGTATAAAAAAGTAACTGTGTTGATAACAATAATAAACAGGAATTATATTTGCAAAGTACTTTGTTTCCAAAAAAATGGTTTCACTCCTGTCGGTGGGGTGGGGGGGGGGGCCTCATCTCACAATGTCGCTTGGGGCCCCAAGTTGGCTGCGGAAACCTCACCTCAACCCAAACCACATGCCTGAAGTTCACATGAGATCAGACTGCAGTTTAATGCCACTCATAAAACATTCCCCTGATCTGAGGAACACAGTTTAGTGAGGAATCTAATGCTTTTAGTTTAATTTGCTGGAATCATAGACTGTATACATAAAGGGTGGTATATGAATGGGTTAAGAGGCAACGCTGCTACTCTGTGGTTAATGCGGGATATGGCATGCAGACAGATATGGTGTCAGATGATATGAATGCCAATCCTCTGTTTAACAATTCTGTGCTTTAGTTTTCTTACAGGTAACAGAGGATTTGAACCTTTTCTGTTTAACCGTAAATGGTTTGTACCTAACATGTTGAGTATATAGTGCACAATCTCAAACTCATACACTACAAATAAAATAGAATAGAATATAATTCCTGACCTGTCCGGTGGTGATTATCAGATGTGAAGCTGCTGGGAGTTTGTTCCAAGGGTGGGGCTGAAGAGCATTTACTATACATTGGAGCACCAGAGACAATCACTACACTTGATTTCTCTCCATGGGTCTGCACCGTGGAGTCCTTACATACAGAGTTAACAGTTTGAAGACAATGCATCCCAGATACTGTGTTACCTGACTGAAAGAAGTCATGAGGAAAAAGCATGGATTTTCAGTTTTTACTGCCTTGTGAATTCATTTTCAGGAGATATTTGTAAACCACCTCAGGTCTGGAAAATATACGACTGCAGGGGGTTTTCTTATTCATTAAAGAGCTGAAAAAAGACCACAGTCAAAGTGAAGTAGTCATGACCGCAGAAAGCATTGCATTTATTTGACAAAATGAGTTACTAGTTACTTTACAAATACAAATGATTAGATTAAACAAAATATGAATAAACAGTGATATATTATTATTATTATTATTATAAAATATCCAGCAGCAGTATATAAAGTGAACGTTGCTCCACTTTTAACAGCTGTGATGAACACATTAACGTAAACAAAATGAAAGAATCCAGTAATTCAATATAAGATTCTAAAATGGGACATTGGGCGCAGTAAGTACTTTTACTTTTGGTACTTTAACTATTTTTTGATGCCAATATGTCTCAGTTTATGCTGCTTTATACTTCTACTAGACAGCTTTTAGTTACTAGTTAGATATAGATTAGTAGATAATTCAAAATATAAATCAGTTATTAAATACACTTTGACAGATATTTATAGGATAAGATATCCAGCAGCAGGACATACAGTTGCTCAAATTAGCTCTACATTTACTAACTGTGATAAAACACATCAATAATCATTATAGTAACTCAATATATATATATATATATATATATATATATATATATATATATACGATTCTGAAAAGGGCCATTATGCATAAGGAGTACTTTTACTTTTGGTACTTAAAGTATATTTTGATACCAATGCTTTTGTACTTTTACTTGTTACAGAGTATTTTTACCCTGTAGTATTTCTACTTTTGCTTTAGTAGAATATCTGAGTACTTCTTTCACCACTGCCACCATGAGTGTGGAGCTGTGTGCTACAAAAGCCTGAATTTAAAACAAATATTTTACAGCTGAAGACTGTTTTCAAATGTAGCCCTCCCTCTTCTTCCTGCTCTCAGACACAGCCAGCTCCACTCTGTATTTCCTGGCTCCTCCCCTTTAGATCCACACTGAGGGGGATGGGTGTAACCAACATGTGGGTAAAGTACAAGAGCTGATAGGCCACATTCACTGCACACACACATCCTGTTCAGATCACAGCTCACATAGTTTCAGCTCTCAGGAAGTGAAACTCAGACACTCGCTGCTACTGAGAGGTGAAATGGCGCAGAAAGGAGTTCAGCTGGACCGGGAAACCTTCTCTTGTTCGATCTGTCTGGATCTACTGAAGGATCCGGTGACGACTACCTGTGGACACAGCTACTGCATGAAGTGTATTAAAGCCCACTGGGATGGAGAGGATGAGAAGAAGATCCACAGCTGCCCTCAGTGTAGGCAGAGCTTCACACCGAGGCCTGTCCTGCTGAAAAACACCATGTTAGCAGCTTTAGTGGAGGAGCTGAAGAAGACTGGACTCCAAGCTGCTCCTGCTGATCACTGCTATGCTGGAGCTGAAGATGTGGCCTGTGATGTCTGCACTGGGAGAAAACTTAGAGCCTGTAAGTCCTGCCTCGTGTGTCTGGCCTCTTATTGTGACAAACACCTCCAGCCTCATTATGACGCAGCTACGTTTAAAAAACACAAGCTGGTGGAGCCCTCCAAGAAGCTCCAGGAGAACATCTGCTCTCGTCATGACGAGGTGATGAAGATGTTCTGCCGCACTGATCAGCAGTGTATCTGTTATCTCTGCTCTGTGGACGAACACAAAGGCCACGACACAGTGTCTGCTGCAGCAGAGAGGACTGAGAGGCAGAGAGAGCTGGAGGGGAGTCGACTAAACATCCAGCAGAGAATCCAGGACAGAGAGAAGGAGGTGAAGCTGCTTCAGCAGGAGGTGGAGGCCGTCAATGGCTCTGCTGATAAAGCAGTGGAGGACAGTGAGAAGATGTTCACTGAGCTGATCCGTCTCATGGAGAAAAGAAGCTCTGATGTGAAGCAGCAGGTCAGATCCCAGCAGAAGAGGGAAGTGAGTCGAGTCAAAGAGCTTCAGGAGAAGCTGGAGCAGGAGATCTCTGAGCTGAAGAGGAGAGACGCTGAGCTGAAGCTGCTGTCTCACACAGAGGATCACAACCAGTTTCTGCACAGCTACCCCTCACTGTCAGCCCTCAGTGAACCTACACACTCATCCAGCATCAACATCCGTCCTCTGAGCTACTTTGAGGACGTGACGGCGGCCCTGTCAGCAGTCAGAGACAAACTACAGGACGTCCTGAGAGAGGAATGGACAAACGTCTCACCGACTGAAGTGGATGTTTTACTGTCAGCAGCAGAGCCCACCACCAGAGCTGGGTTCTTCAAATATTCACAGGAGATCACTCTGGATCCAAACACAGCACACACATATCTGTTATTATCTGAGGGGAGCAGAAAAGCAACATTCATGGAACAACAACAGTCTTATTCTAGTCACCCAGACAGATTCACTGGTTATTCTCAGGTCCTGAGTAGAGAGAGTCTGACTGGACGCTGTTACTGGGAGGTGGAGTGGAGAGGGAGAGAAGTTCGTGTTGCAGTCGCATACAAGAATATCAGCAGAGCAGGGTGGGGGGATGAATGTGGATTTGGACTCAATGACAAATCTGGGTCCTTAGAGTGTAAACAAAACAGTTATTCATTTCGTTACAACAGTATCAAAACTCCCGTCTCAGGTCCTCAGTCCTCCAGAGTAGGAGTGTACCTGGATCACAGAGCAGGTATTCTGTCCTTCTACAGCATCTCTGAAACCATGACTCTCCTCCACAGAGTCCAGACCACATTCACTCAGCCGCTACATGCTGGTGTTTGGCTTTATGATGGAGCCACAGCTGAGTTTTGTAAACTGAAATAGCCTGAAGTCATTTGAGGAACTCTTCTACTTCTTAAACTCATTGTGTGTCCATCATTGTTGCTGAGAGCTGATTGTTCATGTCTTCACTGCACAGAGATCAGCTGTCAATCAAACATTATGGGATGTGCTTTAACATCTTCTCCTGAGTTGTTCTGTAGATGTTGGAGTTTCTTTAGGCGGCGCTCCTTCCTGTGTCTGTTTAGCCATGGAGGCTGTCACTGCTCAGGAGGATTTCTGTTAACCTCAACTCATATTTCTCTGCATGGAAATGTAAACTTTGCTCTAAATATTTGTTGAATATCGATATTGATGTATTTGTATGTTGTTGTTTCTCTTGTAAAGCATGAGAGAGAGAAAGCACCAGAGCTTCTTTCATTGTAGATATTTTATTCTAAATGTCTTTTATTTGTGACTAAGTCTCAATGTGTTGAATGCATCAATGAAAGTTTGAAGAAGGAAATAAAACACATTCAAAGAAAAGCTAACAGGTTGAGTTTGTAATAAATTGTGTTTCTATGTTCAAGATGTGAGATGAGTGCCACATTTACATGTCTGTACAAAATAAAATGTTGGAGTTTTTCTTGTTAATAAAAGAGCTAAGAGGACACAAGTGAAAATCTCAGTCTTTGTTTGTAATCTTAAAATGAATGATCTCTCCTCTCCAGTGAAGCTGCACTAAGTTGAGTTGAATTTTTAATACATGTAGTTCTTGTTTTACTGCTACGTCCCCAATAAGCTCTAGGACAAAAAAGGAGACGGTAACACACGACAACAAATAACATTGAGAGAGTCGGGGGGGAAAGTGAACACAAGTGCATTTATTTACACCAAAGAATGGAGAGGACGAAACGTCTATGGAAGAGGGTTAGGAACATGTGGAGAAATGTGAGATCTGAACTAAAGTGATATTTTTTATGTTTCAAGATTTTAGTCAGAATATTGAGAAACAACTCAGAATTCAGAATATTTTTAATAAATCTTTTTCTTAAGAACATTTTTTTTCTGAAAATCTCAGAATTCAGAATAAATATATTTTATTCCTTTTTTTTAATGAAATTACAGAAATCTGAGATTAAAGTTAGAAAAAAATGACTTTGGTCAGACCTCAACATGTTCTTTACTAGTGAAAGTCAGAATTCTGATAACAAAAATATTCTTTTACAAAAGAAATTCAGATTTTCAATTTTTTTTTAAGAAAATCTCAGAAATCTGACTTTTTCTTAAAATATATTTTATTTATTTTCATGAAAACCTTCAGAATTAGTTTTCATAGATATGAGATTTAAGTAAGAATTTTGATTTATTACTCAAAAGAAAAAATCAGTTTTGGTCAGGTCCAAAAGATAAATCCACATGTGGTCCTAATCCTCTTCTGTATTTCAGAAAAGCAGAAAAGCATTGTTACCAGGATGAGAGAGGATGCTAGATCTGCCTGAAACTGTCTCCTGTTCAGCATCTCCTGCTTTGGCATCTTTATCTGCAGCCCTTTGATGTACTCCACCACTTTGTCCACATCGAGAGCATCCACACTGTCGTACAAGCACAGGATCTGAAGAAAGGAGTAAAACAGTAAATAGACTGAAAGGATTTGGGTACTGAGGCTGCTAGAGAGAGAGAAAGAGGAAGATGAATACAATCTTTAAGAAACTAAATTATTGTATAGTTCTGTGTGTCCTCCAGGAACTAAATCCATTAAGACATACTTAAAATGTCTGCTTGCATCAACTTTGAATCAAAGCAAAGCATACTATTGTTTTCGTTTGTTGGCGACATTTCCAACTTCTCTCATCCACAGAAGTTGATGAGAAAAACAAGAATAGGTTTAGCAATCTGTCACATTTCCTGTTGGCTGTCTGAGGAGTCACCTGCACGGCGCTGAGGGTGTAGAGCAGGTGGGGGTCGTGTCCGATGCTGGCGCTGAGGCCTCCACACTCGTGCTGACAGGATTTGATGAAGTCTACGATCTCCGGCCGGTTCATCCGGGGCAGCTGCGCCATCAGGTCCATCACCGTCAGCCCCCAGTAGATGCCGCTCATCCGCAGGTACTCTGACAGCGTGTACTCCTGAGGCCTGTACTACGAAGCCAGATTTTCCTAACCTGGATATGTTTGAGTTAGCCGGTTGGCCCAATCCAAAACATACGCGCTCTCGCTAAGCTGTACTACGACGCTGGTTATCAAGTGGATCGCTCAAGCCAGCCGTGTCCTATCTAGTTAGGTGCGCGTTCACATGAAAGGGGTGGTATTTGGAGCATTCGACCAATCACAAACATGGACAAGCGCACTGACAGCGCAGCGTCATACTTCCTGAATGAAAAGTGAACTTTAATATTAGTCAAATATGAAGAAGTTAAACTTCAAACATCCATGACTTAAACACTTTATCCAGGATAAAAGCCACATAGCTGCAAGGTGAATACAGCTGGTAAAAGAAAAAGCGTTTGAATGCGTACATTAACAGGTTTATGATATCACTGCCCCGTCTAAGACACAAGTGGATCTGACTTTAATTACATTTGACTCGAGTGTTTCGTCAACTTAATGTGCTGCTTAAAATAATACTTCTGCATACAGTATGTGACACTGTGAGTGTTGCACGGCCAGATACGGCTCAAGAAGCTGACTCAAATAAGGAAATATATGATACATTATGATGTGATATGATATGAATGATAATGGGACACATCGCCGTCTGCACTCACAGTGCCGCGGACTGTACTTAATGTTACTCTGATCCGGTTACTTATGTTGTGGCAGATATTTAAGTAAGCTTTCTTAACGCTAATGTTATAATAGTCAGATTGCTCTGAAGATGGGAGGGGATATTCTATTCATTTTCACGTTCACACAGTCAGTTGATTTTTGCCGGCCGTCTTTCCTGCAACGGCAGTTTTTCTGTATTTCCTCTATCCTGTAATATGACTTGATAGCTTTAAACTCCGCACACGGAGCTCTGATTGGTCAGCAGGCGGTGCTTTCACTGAGTTGATCTCTTAGCCTGCAACCTAACCTCCTCCCGAGGAGGTTAGCAGCTCAGCATAAGTTACCATGGAGATCTAGCCCGCTAAAAAGAGAACCAGCGTCGCAGGACCGGAAAGCCCGAGTTTTCCCTGAAGTCAGCCGGCTAAGCGAAAATCCGGCTTCGTAGTACAGGCCTCTGGACAAACACAAACAAACAGGAAAGATAAACAGTGCAGCAGGAATGAGTCCAAAAACCCGGGAATGAGTCAGCATTATTGCACTTATGGGTCCCTCATCTCAAAATCTATGGGATCTTTTATGGGTTTTTGGTTAAATCCCTGGTCTGTGGTAAAGACAATCTTAGGAGATTTTAAGTGTTTTTTTTCCAGAATGAATGTTCCTTGGTTCCAAGACTAGCCTTAGCATTATTCTCTTTACTTAACAATGTTGGAAGAGGTTGGTAAGGCCATTCACAGATCAAGCAAGGAAATTGAAGTGAGAGTTTTTAATGCAGTTATTACAGTCAAAATATGTTCAGCCACTTTGGAAATATAAACGCCCAAAGGAAAAAAAATGGTGGGTCAAAACCGATGCGGAGTAAAGTCATATTATGTAGATGAATGAGTGAATATGACAAGAAGAATTGTTGACATGCTGTGGTATATCTGCACATTTGATGGTGTATGTTTCAAAGAGTAGATCGGTTTTAGCTGAAGGTGGGTGATTTCAACTTATTGACCATGAAAAACATATATTGAATATTTAACAATGGCCAAAAAAGCCTTCATATAAAAATAAAATACACTTGGGGAACATATTACCCTGGGAACTAAAAGATACACTCCTAAAAAAACATCAATTAATCCTACAAAAGTGTCTTTTACTCACATAGTCATCCTTTTTGGAGCCGTAGGCCGCGATGTAGTCTGCATGTTTGTCCAGCAGCAGAGAGCTGGGGGCGTCAGGCTGAATGATGACATCTTTCACTTGGGTACCCTGACATTGAACACATCACCACAATACTTATCAGAATCAAGTGTTTTACACGTTTACATAAACAAGGAATTAGCTTTGGTGTATGGTGGTGCAAACATAAACAAAGAAAATATACAAATAATAACCTAAAAATCTCAAAAGAAACTTAAGACAATGAATATATGACATACTAGAGTGTATTATATATTTTAAACATGGGACATTTTCTAAATGACCTTGTTTCAATGATATACAACCACAACCTGCGTGTCAAGCCTGAAAATGACTAATATTATGTAGCAAAATTAGTGAAAATTGCAGTTGTTTTGGTATCATTGAGCTACATGCTAACTCTGATACTAACCACTTTACTTAAGTTAGCTGTTTTCACAGGTAAGCTGTCAATGTAACGCTAAAGCTGAACATAACGGAGATAAGTGGACATGTTAATGCATTTCGGCTGTATTGTTATATGCAAATAAGCTGAGTAACGATGACATTTACAACATGATAACCAGTTACCATTCTGGAGATGTTCGCATGATCAGGCTACTTCTTCTTCTTCTGTTTTCTTTTTGGTGGCTGTCAAACTGGTTAAGATGCGCATTACCGCCACCTAGTGGGGACACGGGATTATGCAGGAGAAAATCACTTGGATGCTTTTGGAATTAGATATAACAATACAAAATCCCTTTTCGTTTCACACATGTACAATGGTGTTACATGAGTGGATATTATACATTGCACATGGTGGTGTTAACTTACAGTCTTTATTGTGTGGTGGTCAGTGGTGGAAAGTAACTAAGTACATTTACTCAAGTATTTTACTTGAGTATTTTTTTGACGTGTGTACTTTACTTCAGTGCTTTCATTTTATGCTACTTTATACTTAACCTCACCTCAACCCAAACCACATGCCTGAAGTTCACATGAGATCACACTGCAGTTTAATGCCACTCATAAAACATTCCCCTGATCTGAGGAACACAGTTTAGTGAGGAATCTAATGCTTTTAGTTTAATTTGCTGGAATCATAGACTGTATACATAAAGGGTGGTATATGAATGGGTTAAGAGGCAACGCTGCTACTCTGTGGTTAATGCGGGATATGGCATGCAGACAGATATGGTGTCAGATGATATGAATGCCAATCCTCTGTTTAACAATTCTGTGCTTTAGTTTTCTTACAGGTAACAGGGGATTTGAACCTTTTCTGTTTAACCGTAAATGGTTTGTACCTAACATGTTGAGTATATAGTGCACAATCTCAAACTCATACACTACAAATAAAATAGAATAGAATATAATTCCTGACCTGTCCGGTGGTGATTATCAGATGTGAAGCTGCTGGGAGTTTGTTCCAAGGGTGGGGCTGAAGAGCATTTACTATACATTGGAGCACCAGAGACAATCACTACACTTGATTTCTCTCCATGGGTCTGCACCGTGGAGTCCTTACATACAGAGTTAACAGTTTGAAGACAATGCATCCCAGATACTGTGTTACCTGACTGAAAGAAGTCATGAGGAAAAAGCATGGATTTTCAGTTTTTACTGCCTTGTGAATTCATTTTCAGGAGATATTTGTAAACCACCTCAGGTCTGGAAAATATACGACTGCAGGGGGTTTTCTTATTCATTAAAGAGCTGAAAAAAGACCACGGTCAAAGTGAAGTAGTCATGACCGCAGAAAGCATTGCATTTATTTGACAAAATGAGTTACTAGTTACTTTACAAATACAAATGATTAGATTAAACAAAATATGAATAAACAGTGATATATAATTATTATTATTATTATTATAAGATATCCAGCAGCAGTATATAAAGTAAACCTTGCTCCACTTTTAACAGCTGTGATGAACACATTAACGTAAACAAAATGAAAGAATCCAGTAATTCAATATAAGATTCTAAAATGGGACATTGGGCGCAGTAAGTACTTTTACTTTTGGTACTTTAACTATTTTTTGATGCCAATATGTCTCAGTTTATGCTGCTTTATACTTCTACTAGACAGCTTTTAGTTACTAGTTAGATATAGATTAGTAGATCATTCAAAAATATAAATCAGTTATTAAATACACTTTGACAGATATTTATAGGATAAGATATCCAGCAGCAGGACATACAGTTGCTCAAATTAGCTCTACATTTACTAACTGTGATAAAACACATCAATAATCATTATAGTAACTCAATATATATATATATATATACGATTCTGAAAAGGGCCATTATGCATAAGGAGTACTTTTACTTTTGGTACTTAAAGTATATTTTGATACCAATGCTTTTGTGCTTTTACTTGTTACACAGTATTTTTACCCCGTAGTATTTCTACTTTTACTTTAGTAGAATATCTGAGTACTTCTTTCACCACTGCTACCATGAGTGTGGAGCTGTGTGCTACAAAAGCCTGCATTTAAAACAAATATTTTACAGCTGAAGACTGTTTTCAAATGTATAGCAGGTTGTAAGCGAGGCTCCGTTTGTGAATGAGGAAACAGTTCAGAGTGTCAGCGCTGCTCCTCCTGCTGGAATGAGTCAGAGTTTGATAAGCCCTCCCTCTTCTTCCTGCTCTCAGACACAGCCAGCTCCACTCTGTATTTCCTGGCTCCTCCCCTTTAGATCCACACTGAGGGGGATGAGTGTAACCAACATGTGGGTAAAGTACAAGAGCTGATAGGCCACATTCACTGCACACACCCATGCTGTTCAGATCACAGCTCACATAGTTTCAGGTTTCAGGAAGTGAAACTCAGACACTCGCTGCCACTGAGAGGGGAAATGGCGCAGAAAGGAGTTCAGCTGGACCGGGAAACCTTCTCTTGTTCGATCTGTCTGGATCTACTGAAGGATCCGGTGACGACAACCTGTGGACACAGCTACTGCATGAAGTGTATTAAAGGCTTCTGGGACGGAGAGGATGAGAAGAAGATCCACAGCTGCCCTCAGTGTAGGCAGAGCTTCACACCGAGGCCTGTCCTGCTGAAAAACACCATGTTAGCAGCTTTAGTGGAGGAGCTGAAGAAGACTGGACTCCAAACTGCTCCTGCTGATCACTGCTATGCTGGAGCTGAAGATGTGGCCTGTGATGTCTGCACTGGGAGAAAACTGAGAGCCTGTAAGTCCTGCCTCGTGTGTCTGGCCTCTTATTGTGACAAACACCTCCAGTGTCATAATGAATTTAATAATGTCTTGAAAAAACACAAGCTGGTGGAGCCCTCCAAGAAGCTCCAGGAGAACATCTGCTCTCGTCACGATGAGGTGATGAAGATGTTCTGCCGCACTGATCAGCAGTGTATCTGTTATCTCTGCTCTGTGGACGAACACAAAGGCCACGACACAGTGTCTGCTGCTGCAGAAAGGACTGAGAGGCAGAGAGAGCTGGAGGGGAGTCGACTAAACATCCAGCAGAGAATCCAGGACAGAGAGAAGGAGGTGAAGCTGCTTCAGCAGGAGGTGGAGGCCGTCAATGGCTCTGCTGATAAAGCAGTGGAGGACAGTGAGAAGATGTTCACTGAGCTGATCCGTCTCATGGAGAAAAGAAGCTCTGATGTGAAGCAGCAGGTCAGATCCCAGCAGAAGAGTGAAGTGAGTCGAGTCAGAGAGCTTCAGGAGAAGCTGGAGCAGGAGATGGCTGAGCTGAAGAGGAGAGACGCTGAGCTGAAGCTGCTGTCTCACACAGAGGATCACAACCAGTTTCTGCTCAGCTACCCCTCACTGTCAGCCCTCAGTGAACCTACACACTCATCCAGCATCAACATCCGTCCTCTGAGCTACTTTGAGGACGTGACGGCGGCCCTGTCAGCAGTCAGAGACAAACTACAGGACGTCCTGAGAGAGGAATGGACAAACGTCTCACCGACTGAAGTGGATGTTTTACTGTCAGCAGCAGAGCCCACCACCAGAGCTGGGTTCTTCAAATATTCACAGGAGATCACTCTGGATCCAAACACAGCAAATACATGGCTGTTATTATCTGAGGGGAGCAGAAAAGCAACATACATGAAACAACATCAGTCTTATTCTAGTCACCCAGACAGATTCATTTATTATGTTCAGGTCCTGAGTAGAGAGAGTCTGACTGGACGCTGTTTCTGGGAGGTGGAGCGGAGAGGGGGAGGAGTTTCTGTAGCAGTCGCATACAAGAATATCAGGAGAGCAGGGAGTGAAAGTGGATTTGGACTCAATGACAAATCTTGGTCCTTAGAGTGTAAACAAAACAGTTATTCATTTCGTTACAACAATATCAACACTCCCGTCTCAGGTCCTCAGTCCTCCAGAGTAGGAGTGTACCTGGATCACAGAGCAGGTATTCTGTCCTTCTACAGCATCTCTGAAACCATGACTCTCCTCCACAGAGTCCAGACCACATTCACTCAGCCGCTACATGCTGGAGTTTGGCCTTATCATGATGGAGACACAGCTGAGTTTTGTAAACTGAAATAGCCTGAAGTCATTTGAGGAACTCTTCTACTTCTTAAACTCATTGTGTGTCCATCATTGTTGCTGAGAGCTGATTGTTCATGTCTTCACTGCACAGAGATCAGCTGTCAATCAAACATTATGGGATGTGCTTTAACATCTTCTCCTGAGTTGTTCTGTAGATGTTGGAGTTTCTTTAGGCGGCGCTCCTTCCTGTGTCTGTTTAGCCATGGAGGCTGTCACTGCTCAGGAGGATTTCTGTTAACCTCAACTCATATTTCTCTGCATGGAAATGTAAACTTTGCTCTAAATATTTGTTGAATATCGATATTGATGTATTTGTATGTTGTTGTTTCTCTTGTAAAGCATGAGAGAGAGAAAGCACCAGAGCTTCTTTCATTGTAGATATTTTATTCTAAATGTCTTTTATTTTTGACTAAGTCTCAATGTGTTGAATGCATCAATGAAAGTTTGAAGAAGGAAATAAAACACATTCAAAGAAAAGCTAACAGGTTGAGTTTGTAATAAATGGTGTTTCTATGTTCAAGATGTGAGATGAGTGCCACATTTACATGTCTGTACAAAATAAAATGTTGGAGTTTTTCTTGTTAATAAAAGAGCTAAGAGGACACAAGTGAAAATCTCAGTCTTTGTTTGTAATCTTAAAATGAATGATCTCTCCTCTCCAGTGAAGCTGCACTAAGTTGAGTTGAATTTTTAATACATGTAGTTCTTGTTTTACTGCTACGTCCCCAATAAGCTCTAGGACAAAAAAGGAGACAGTAACACACGACAACAAATAACATTGAGAGAGTCGGGGGGGAAAGTGAACACAAGTGCATTTATTTACACCAAAGAATGGAGAGGACGAAACGTCTATGGAAGAGGGTTAGGAACATGTGGAGAAATGTGAGATCTGAACTAAAGTGATATTGTTTTTTATGTTTCAAGATTTTAGTCAGAATATTGAGAAACAAGTCAGAATTCAGAATATTTTTAATAAATCTTTTTCTTAAGAACATTTTTTTTCTGAAAATCTCAGAATTCAGAATAAATATATTTTTTTATTCCTTTTTTTTAATGAAATTACAGAAATCTGACATTAAAGTTAGAAAAAAATGACTTTGGTCAGACCTCAACATCTTCTTTACTAGTGAAAGTCAGAATCCTGAAAAAAAAAAAATTATTTTACAAAAGAAATTCAGATTTTCAATTTTCTTTTAAGAAAATCTCAGAAATCTGACTTTTTCTTAAAATATATTTTATTTATTTTCATGAAAACCTTCAGAATTAGTTTTCATAGATCTGAGATTTAAGTAAGAATTTTGATTTATTACTAGAAAAAATCAGTTTTGGTCAGGTCCAAAAGATAAATCCACATGTGGTCCTAATCCTCTTCTGTATTTCAGAAAAGCAGAAAAGCATTGTTACCAGGATGAGAGAGGATGCTAGATCTGCCTGAAACTGTCTCCTGTTCAGCATCTCCTGCTTTGGCATCTTTAGAGCTTTGCAGAAATGACATCCTCTGTGATATCTGGAGCAGAGAAATCAGTATTGGGACTGATCAAATATCTTTTCAGCCAGCAATACCTGTCACGGGGCTTGGTGTGTTTATTTGGTTGGGGCTCGATGTCCACATAATCACTGACTGGGCGGCCATTGGGTTCAGATAAGAGATAAGATAAGATAGTACTTTATTGATCTCAATTTGGGACATTGTTGTGTTGCAGCAGCATAAAAGACATGGCATTGTACAATAACGATTAAAAAAGACTGGAAATAAACAAGAAAGTAGAAAATATACATGTTGACTTAACACATTAACAATGACAAAAACAAAATATAAAGCAAGTTATTATATGAACATAAGTATATGAGGGATGGATTGTTGTTGGTTTTCTTTGTCCACTTGTCCACAGGCATCTTCTTCTGCCTCTTCTTCACTCATAGCAGTGTCACTGTCCTCTGATTCCATCTCAAAATCACTTTTTGGATGGCAGCAGTGGTCGTTGGACGCGGGGGATCGCCGTTCCCCCACTTTCTTTGAAGCATGATTTTTTTTGAATAGTCGAATAAATATAAAATCATTGCCAGTGTTATCAGTTGCAAGTGTGTATTTGTAAATGAGGTGGGGGGGGGGGCGGCTCATCTCGCAAGGTCGCTTGGGTCCCCAAGTTGGCCAGGGACGGCCCTGATACTTCTACTATACAACATTTTAGTCTATTTGAGTTTTACCAATGTATTGTGTTGCGCTGATTAAGAAAGATATAATCTGAAATGAAAGGGAGCCTCATTCAACATTATCTACCCATCCGGGAAAAGCTCTCTGTCAAAAAATCTATCTAACAAATGAGTGTTGAAATAAGTGCTTCAATTTCAGGAAAACATTAAGTTCAAATACTAGAAATATATATTTTCTTACTAAAAATCATGACTTAATTTGTTTGGCAATTTTTAAATATTTCTTTCTTTATTTTTCATTGCTGAAGTGAATGATAGGGCAACGCTGCTGCTCCAATTTAGCAGGGAGAGGATCTACGGCCAAAAGTTGAATCTTTGCTGATTAAATTCTGGAGCCTGACTGGCTATATTAATAGTACTAGTAAAAACAATTGTAAAAAAATAGTAAAAGTTAAACATTTTGAATTTCTAACCTCCCTCGCATCGGGGTACAACAAAACATGGGCACCATAATCCAGTTAAAAGCGTTTTGGTTCATCCTTCATCCTCATAACTCCAACATAAATCTGCAAGAAGACAATCAAATGTAAATATATAATACAAATAAAACAAATTGATACAGTAAAGTAATTTCACATTGAATGAGTGTGTGGTTACCAGATGTGAGTTACATATTTATTCACAACAGAAAATGTTGCATACCTTCACTATTTTCAGTTCATTTTTTTGAGTTATGACGTGCCTTTGTAAAGAATGCATTGAGCATTAAAAGTACAAAATATACAATTACAGAATAAGAAAGGGACAGAAACATAATGCTCACTTTCAGTTTTCTATTTTAAACACCTCCCCCCCCCCCCCCCCGTATTATCATAGGGCCACACTGCAGCAGGATCTACACCCAAAAGGTGTTTCTTTGCTGGTTAAATCGTGGAGCATGCTCATTGTAATAAAGAAAGAACACATTCCTTCTGATGATAATGTTTGGATCCTCTGGATGTCTGAGGGTTTGCACCATTATGCCTACACGGTATCCAGCAGGCCTTCTCATGTAGAACAGTCCACAGAGCACTAAGAAGTTGAAAACGTCTTGACTTATAAAAACGAGCGAGTACATGATGAAGGAAACCATCAGCAGTGCTGCCCCAATAACTAAGACTAATGTGTGGTTAATGCACAGGCCAACAAATTGTATCAAGGAAAGAGCGACTGCAATCCCTGATTTGGCCACTGACAATGTTACTGAAGCAGCTCCTATCAGCTCAGGACCAACAGCAACTATCCTTCGCCTCGCGCCTGAACATGCAGATGAAAATCCTTTCAGTACCTTGGGCGCAGCAGCGACTATCCATCTATATGCCACAGAATAAATAGATGAAAAAACGTCTGGTACTTTAGGACTAACACCTCCTATTCTGTATACAGTTGTAGATCCTACCAACGGCGCAAAACTACCAAAAATTCTTCTTCGAGCAAAAGGAATAATGACTGCAATCCCTAAAAGAGTAACTCCTCCTATCACATATCTATTTCCAATCATGTATGTGATGTGAGCTCTCAGCTGTTCAAGTAGAGGAAGTCCACCTCCATTTGGGGTCTGAGGTGGCTGAGGCATCCAAGGGAGCCTGAGCAACCTGACAGCCTCACTTTGATGAACCTGTTGTGTTCCCTGACCACCCTGGACACAAGGGAGGAAAGTGCTAATGGGAGCATTTCTCCAGACTTGTGTGAAAGGCCAGTTGTTGTGTCGGTGACAACAGCAAGTCCGGGAAACTGGAGCAACCTCCTCCAACTCCTCTCCTGAGCTTTCTCCTCTTCTTAATTCATGATGCTCAGGTCTTTGCTGGTTGAACGGGGTCGCTGTGGGAGGACGAGGGTCCAGAAAATCCTTCACTCCCTTTGTGACATAAGTGCCCACAACATAACCAAGACAAAGGAACACCATGGCTATCACGGGTTATTTGTCTGTTTTGAATATGGAATAAAATTAATTAATTCTTGTCTCAGTGTCTGTCTTCAAAAGTGTCTCACTGAACACAAATGTTCTAATAGTAGAAGCAAGTAGATCCCTATGACGTCATCGTTCTTCCATCGCATAGATGACGTCACTGTCCTATGACGTCAGTGCGTCGCTGCTGGCGTCAAACAGCCCCGCCCCCTTTTACAGGTGAAAACAACAAATCGGCGCAGAGTGGAAAAATATACTTTCGTCAAGCTGCTGTGTTGCACTTTAAACAACAAAAAAGCTCCAGAATTACAAGTTTCTTTACTTCCAATTATAAAAAAAGGACAATAATAGAAGAAATCTTTGGCTTCAGACCGTTCACAGAGAAAACGAAAACAGTAAACAAACACTTGATCACAGTTAGCATCAATTATGATGCTAATGAGGTTACCGTCAGTCGTCAAAGTGCACAGTTGTAATGTTAAAAGTCAAGGTGATGAATCTAGATGCAGCATTAAAATATTAAACACTTTTAAAGTCAAAGAAATTCTGTTGTTTTGTGTTATTTTGATTAAGAACATTTTTTTTCAGAATTCAGAATAAATATTTTTTTTTGTTCCTTTTTTTTAATGAAATTACAGAAATCTGAGATTAAAGTTAGGAAAAAATCACTTTGGTCAGACCTCAACATGTTCTTTACTAGTGAAAGTCAGAATTCTGATAAAAAAAATATTCTTTTACAAAAGAAATTCAGATTTTCAATTTTTTTTAAGAAAATCTCAGAAATAAAATATAAAATAAAATATATTTTATTTATTTTCATGAAAACCTTCAGAATTAGTTTTCATAGATCTGAGATTTAAGTAAGAATTTTGATTTATTACTCAAAAGAAAAAATCAGTTTTGATCAGGTCCAAAAGATAAATCCACATGTGGTCCTAATCCTCTTCTGTATTTCAGAAAAGCAGAAAAGCATTGTTACCAGGATGAGAGAGGATGCTAGATCTGCCTGAAACTGTCTCCTGTTCAGCATCTCCTGCTTTGGCATCTTTAGAGCTTTGCAGAAATGACATCCTCTGTGATATCTGGAGCAGAGAAATCAGTATTGGGACTGATCAAATATCTTTTCAGCCAGCGATACCTGTCACGGGGCTTGGTGTGTTTATTTGGTTGGGGCTCGATGTCCACATAATCACTGACTGGGCGGCCATTGGGTTCAGATAAGAGATAAGATAAGATAGTACTTTATTGATCTCAATTTGGGACATTGTTGTGTTGCAGCAGCATAAAAGACATGGCATTGTACAATAACGATTAAAAAAGACTGGAAATAAACAAGAAAGTAGAAAGATGTTGCGGCAGTGCACCGGTACCGGGGTCTCTCGGGCTTAACAGGTTAAGAAATATCAGTTTTTGAGCATGTAATAAGCACGTTTTGTCTTGACTATATTACAACTATATTATAATAAAACAATATAGTATTTATATTATTGAATTGATTATGATTATGATTATTAGTAGAAGTAGTTTATTTGCATTAATTATATTTTAATCTTTTTGAGGCTAGTATTTGGCAGGAAATGCAGACGTATTCACCTGTAAACGCATACTGAACGACATACATGCACATTTACCATTTACCTCACTGTATAAAAAAGTAACTGTGTTGATAACAATAATAAACAGGAATTATATTTGCAAAGTACTTTGTTTCCAAAAAAATGGTTTCACTCCTGTCGGTGGGGTGGGGGGGGGGCCTCATCTCACAATGTCGCTTGGGGCCCCAAGTTGGCTGCGGAAACCTCACCTCAACCCAAACCACATGCCTGAAGTTCACATGAGATCAGACTGCAGTTGAATGCCACTCATAAAACATTCCCCTGATCTGAGGAACACAGTTTAGTGAGGAATCTAATGCTTTTAGTTTAATTTGCTGGAATCATAGACTGTATACATAAAGGGTGGTATATGAATGGGTTAAGAGGCAACGCTGCTACTCTGTGGTTAATGCGGGATATGGCATGCAGACAGATATGGTGTCAGATGATATGAATGCCAATCCTCTGTTTAACAATTCTGTGCTTTAGTTTTCTTACAGGTAACAGAGGATTTGAACCTTTTCTGTTTAACCGTAAATGGTTTGTACCTAACATGTTGAGTATATAGTGCACAATCTCAAACTCATACACTACAAATAAAATAGAATAGAATATAATTCCTGACCTGTCCGGTGGTGATTATCAGATGTGAAGCTGCTGGGAGTTTGTTCCAAGGGTGGGGCTGAAGAGCATTTACTATACATTGGAGCACCAGAGACAATCACTACACTTGATTTCTCTCCATGGGTCTGCACCGTGGAGTCCTTACATACAGAGTTAACAGTTTGAAGACAATGCATCCCAGATACTGTGTTACCTGACTGAAAGAAGTCATGAGGAAAAAGCATGGATTTTCAGTTTTTACTGCCTTGTGAATTCATTTTCAGGAGATATTTGTAAACCACCTCAGGTCTGGAAAATATACGACTGCAGGGGGTTTTCTTATTCATTAAAGAGCTGAAAAAAGACCACAGTCAAAGTGAAGTAGTCATGACCGCAGAAAGCATTGCATTTATTTGACAAAATGAGTTACTAGTTACTTTACAAATACAAATGATTAGATTAAACAAAATATGAATAAACAGTGATATATTATTATTATTATTATTATAAGATATCCAGCAGCAGTATATAAAGTGAACGTTGCTCCACTTTTAACAGCTGTGATGAACACATTAACGTAAACAAAATGAAAGAATCCAGTAATTCAATATAAGATTCTAAAATGGGACATTGGGCGCAGTAAGTACTTTTACTTTTGGTACTTTAACTATTTTTTGATGCCAATATGTCTCAGTTTATGCTGCTTTATACTTCTACTAGACAGCTTTTAGTTACTAGTTAGATATAGATTAGTAGATAATTCAAAATATAAATCAGTTATTAAATACACTTTGACAGATATTTATAGGATAAGATATCCAGCAGCAGGACATACAGTTGCTCAAATTAGCTCTACATTTACTAACTGTGATAAAACACATCAATAATCATTATAGTAACTCAATATATATATATATATATATATATATATATATATATACGATTCTGAAAAGGGCCATTATGCATAAGGAGTACTTTTACTTTTGGTACTTAAAGTATATTTTGATACCAATGCTTTTGTACTTTTACTTGTTACAGAGTATTTTTACCCTGTAGTATTTCTACTTTTGCTTTAGTAGAATATCTGAGTACTTCTTTCACCACTGCTACCATGAGTGTGGAGCTGTGTGCTACAAAAGCCTGAATTTAAAACAAATATTTTACAGCTGAAGACTGTTTTCAAATGTAGCCCTCCCTCTTCTTCCTGCTCTCAGACACAGCCAGCTCCACTCTGTATTTCCTGGCTCCTCCCCTTTAGATCCACACTGAGGGGGATGGGTGTAACCAACATGTGGGTAAAGTACAAGAGCTGATAGGCCACATTCACTGCACACACACATCCTGTTCAGATCACAGCTCACATAGTTTCAGCTCTCAGGAAGTGAAACTCAGACACTCGCTGCTACTGAGAGGTGAAATGGCGCAGAAAGGAGTTCAGCTGGACCGGGAAACCTTCTCTTGTTCGATCTGTCTGGATCTACTGAAGGATCCGGTGACGACTACCTGTGGACACAGCTACTGCATGAAGTGTATTAAAGCCCACTGGGATGGAGAGGATGAGAAGAAGATCCACAGCTGCCCTCAGTGTAGGCAGAGCTTCACACCGAGGCCTGTCCTGCTGAAAAACACCATGTTAGCAGCTTTAGTGGAGGAGCTGAAGAAGACTGGACTCCAAGCTGCTCCTGCTGATCACTGCTATGCTGGAGCTGAAGATGTGGCCTGTGATTTCTGCACTGGGAGAAAACTTAGAGCCTGTAAGTCCTGCCTCGTGTGTCTGGCCTCTTATTGTGACAAACACCTCCAGCCTCATTATGACGCAGCTACGTTTAAAAAACACAAGCTGGTGGAGCCCTCCAAGAAGCTCCAGGAGAACATCTGCTCTCGTCATGACGAGGTGATGAAGATGTTCTGCCGCACTGATCAGCAGTGTATCTGTTATCTCTGCTCTGTGGACGAACACAAAGGCCACGACACAGTGTCAGCTGCAGCAGAGAGGACTGAGAGGCAGAGAGAGCTGGAGGGGAGTCGACTAAACATCCAGCAGAGAATCCAGGACAGAGAGAAGGAGGTGAAGCTGCTTCAGCAGGAGGTGGAGGCCGTCAATGGCTCTGCTGATAAAGCAGTGGAGGACAGTGAGAAGATGTTCACTGAGCTGATCCGTCTCATGGAGAAAAGAAGCTCTGATGTGAAGCAGCAGGTCAGATCCCAGCAGAAGAGTGAAGTGAGTCAAGTCAAAGAGCTTCAGGAGAAGCTGGAGCAGGAGATGGCTGAGCTGAAGAGGAGAGACGCTGAGCTGAAGCTGCTGTCTCACACAGAGGATCACAACCAGTTTCTGCACAGCTACCCCTCACTGTCAGCCCTCAGTGAACCTACACACTCATCCAGCATCAACATCCGTCCTCTGAGCTACTTTGAGGACGTGACGGCGGCCCTGTCAGCAGTCAGAGACAAACTACAGGACGTCCTGAGAGAGGAATGGACAAACGTCTCACCGACTGAAGTGGATGTTTTACTGTCAGCAGCAGAGCCCACCACCAGAGCTGGGTTCTTAAAATATTCACAGGAGATCACTCTGGATCCAAACACAGCATACACATATCTGTTATTATCTGAGGGGAGCAGAAAAGCAACATACATGGGACAACATCAGTCTTATTCTAGTCACCCAGACAGATTCATTCATTATGTTCAGGTCCTGAGTAGAGAGAGTCTGACTGGACGTTGTTACTGGGAGGTGGAGTGGAGAGGGAGAGAAGTTCGTGTTGCAGTCGCATACAAGAATATCAGCAGAGCAGGGTGGGGGGATGAATGTGGATTTGGACTCAATGACAAATCTTGGTCCTTAGAGTGTCAACAAAACAGTTATTCATTTCGTTACAACAGTATCAACACTCCCGTCTCAGGTCCTCTGTGCTCCAGAGTAGGAGTGTACCTGGATCACAGAGCAGGTATTCTGTCCTTCTACAGCATCTCTGAAACCATGACTCTCCTCCACAGAGTCCAGACCACATTCACTCAGCCGCTACATGCTGGTGTTTGGCTTTATGATGGAGCCACAGCTGAGTTTTGTAAACTGAAATAGCCTGAAGTCATTTGAGGAACTCTTCTACTTCTTAAACTCATTGTGTGTCCATCATTGTTGCTGAGAGCTGATTGTTCATGTCTTCACTGCACAGAGATCAGCTGTCAATCAAACATTATGGGATGTGCTTTAACATCTTCTCATGAGTTGTTCTGTAGATGTTGGAGTTTCTTTAGGCGGCGCTCCTTCCTGTGTCTGTTTAGCCATGGAGGCTGTCACTGCTCAGGAGGATTTCTGTTAACCTCAACTCATATTTCTCTGCATGGAAATGTAAACTTTGCTCTAAATATTTGTTGAATATCGATATTGATGTATTTGTATGTTGTTGTTTCTCTTGTAAAGCATGAGAGAGAGAAAGCACCAGAGCTTCTTTCATTGTAGATATTTTATTCTAAATGTCTTTTATTTTTGACTAAGTCTCAATGTGTTGAATGCATCAATGAAAGTTTGAAGAAGGAAAGAAAACACATTCAAAGAAAAGCCAACAGGTTGAGTTTGTAATAAATTGTGTTTCTATGTTCAAGATGTGAGATGAGTGCCACATTTACATGTCTGTACAAAATAAAATGTTGGAGTTTTTCTTGTTAATAAAAGAGCTAAGAGGACACAAGTGAAAATCTCAGTCTTTGTTTGTAATCTTAAAATGAATGATCTCTCCTCTCCAGTGAAGCTGCACTAAGTTGAGTTGAATTTTTAATACATGTAGTTCTTGTTTTACTGCTACGTCCCCAATAAGCTCTAGGACAAAAAAGGAGACAGTAACACACGACAACAAATAACATTGAGAGAGTCGGGGGGGAAAGTGAACACAAGTGCATTTATTTACACCAAAGAATGGAGAGGACGAAACGTCTATGGAAGAGGGTTAGGAACATGTGGAGAAATGTGAGATCTGAACTAAAGTGATATTTTTTTTATGTTTCAAGATTTTAGTCAGAATATTGAGAAACAAGTCAGATTTCAGAATATTTTTAATAAATCTTTTTCTTAAGAACATTTTTTTTCTGAAAATCTCAGAATTCAGAATAAATATATTTTTGTATTCCTTTTTTTTAATGAAATTACAGAAATCTGAGATTAAAGTTAGGAAAAAATCACTTTGGTCAGACCTCAACATGTTCTTTACTAGTGAAAGTCAGAATTCTGATTTAAAAAAAATCTTTTACAAAAGAAATTCAGATTTTCAATTTATTTTAAAGAAAATCTCAGAAATCTGACTTTTTCTTAAAATATATTTTATTTATTTTCATGAAAACCTTCAGAATTAGTTTTCATAGATCTGAGATTTAAGTAAGAATTTTGATTTATTACTCAAAAGAAAAAATCAGTTTTGGTCAGGTCCAAAAGATAAATCCACATGTGGTCCTAATCCTCTTCTGTATTTCAGAAAAGCAGAAAAGCATTGTTACCAGGATGAGAGAGGATGCTAGATCTGCCTGAAACTGTCTCCTGTTCAGCATCTCCTGCTTTGGCATCTTTAGAGCTTTGCAGAAATGACATCCTCTGTGATATCTGGAGCAGAGAAATCAGTATTGGGACTGATCAAATATCTTTTCATCCAGCGATACCTGTCACGGGGCTTGGTGTGTTTATTTGGTTGGGGCTCAATGTCCACATAATCACTGACTGGGCGGCCATTGGGTTCAGATAAGAGATAAGATAAGATAGCACTTTATTGATCTCAATTTGGGACATTGTTGTGTTGCAGCAGCATAAAAGACATGGCATTGTACAATAACGATTAAAAAAGACTGGAAATAAACAAGAAAGTAGAAAATATACATGTTGACTTTACACATTAACAATGACAAAAACAAAATATAAAGCAAGTTATTATATGAACATAAGTATATGAGGGATGGATTGTTGTTGGTTTTCTTTGTCCACTTGTCCACAGACATCTTCTTCTGCCTCTTCTTCACTCATAGCAGTGTCCAGTGGCGTTTTTATATGTACAAAAGTGGTGGGGCACAAAAAACTTAGATGTCTATATATAAGCTTCTGCAGTGACGTGCAGTGAGGTTCATGGCTGGTGAGGCACTGGCACTGACTCTTCAGGTTTACAAATATTATATTTTGACCTAAACCAAAATATAATATTATTTTCAAAAGCTTTTTTTGTCTGATGCTTCGATTAATTTTAAACAGACAGTTCAACAAAAGGATACCCAAAAAATGTAATTTTATCATTTAAATATTGAATTGTTCTCTCTTAGTAAGATCCCATTTTCAATAAAATGGCGGTCTTACCTTGACTTGAAGATGAAGTCCATTTGCCTATCCTTCTGGACAAACATTTCTATTACTTTTTTGTAAAAGTCCTCCTTATCTTCCTGTAGTTTCAAAAGTCTATCATAAATCTAATCGATAGATTTATGATAAAAAAATTATAAAAGTAGGGTAGACATGTGGATGTTATCCGGCTAATCAAAACGTGCATTTATCTAACAGGTACGTTTCCCACAGATCTTATTTCGAGCTATTTTCTAAAATCCTCTGGAGAAATCTCATTGCTTTTTTGTGCTTACTTCCTGGTTTTAGGACGCGCCACTGCAGCTCTCTCGTCTCCTCTTCACACAGCACACTTTTCGCGGCACACGTACTTACAGCCAATCAGCTCTGAATGATTTGAGATGACGTATGGTGGGGATGGTAGCTCCGTGCCCCTCTGGTCATTATTTTTTTGACACACACATTTCATTACAAAATACTCTGAGCATGCGCAGTGTAGTTTTTACAGTCACCGTTGACTTCACAGCGAGAGGAAGGGGCATAATCAGGTTTTGTCCCACATGGCTCTAAACAGCTCAATAGGCACACACTGTGACTGTAGACACACTAATTAGAAGAACACAGACTAAAACAGCAATGTACAGACGAATCAGATGATTAAACATGATCTTAAAATATATTTTATATATTTTTTTATTTATTTTTTTGCATTTTTGTAATCATTATTTGTAATACTTTCTGCTGACACTAGGTGGGGCTGTGCCCCACCTGCCCCTAATGACCAGTCGCCACTGCCAGTGTCACTGTCCTCTGATTCCATCTCAAAGTGACTTTTTGGATGGCAGCAGTGGTCGTTGGACGCGGGGGATCGCCGTTCCCCCACTTTCTTTGAAGCATGATTTTTTTTGAATAGTCGAATAAATATAAAATCATTGCCAGTGTTATCAGTTGCAAGTGTGTATTTGTAAATCTCATCTCGCAAGGTCGCTTGGGTCCCCAAGTTGGCCAGGGACGGCCCTGATACTTCGACTATACAACATTTTAGTCTATTTGAGTTTTACCAATGTATTGTGTTGCGCTGATTAAGAAAGATATCATCTGAAATGAAAGGGAGCCTCATTCAACATTATCTACCCATCCGGGAAAAGCTCTCTGTCAAAAAATCTATCTAACAAATGAGTGTTGAAATAAGTGCTTCAATTTCAGGAAAACATTAAGTTCAAATACTAGAAATATATATTTTTTTACTAAAAATCATGACTTAATTTGTTTGGCAATTTTTAAATATTTATTTATTTATTTTTCATTGCTGAAGTGAATGATAGGGCAACGCTGCTGCTCCAATTTAGCAGGGAGAGGATCTACGGCCAAAAGTTGAATCTTTGCTGATTAAATTCTGGAGCCTGACTGGCTATATTAATAGTACTAGTAAAAACAATTGTAAAAAAATAGTAAAAGTTAAACATTTTGAATTTCTAACCTCCCTCGCATCGGGGTACAACAAAACATGGGCACCATAATCCAGTTAAAAGCGTTTTGGTTCATCCTTCATCCTCATAACTCCAACATAAATCTGCAAGAAGACAATCAAATGTAAATATATAATACAAATAAAACAAATTGATACAGTAAAGTAATTTCACATTGAATGAGTGTGTGGTTACCAGATGTGAGTTACATATTTATTCACAACAGAAAATGTTGCATACCTTCACTATTTTCAGTTCATTTTTTTAGAGTTATGACGTGCCTTTGTAAAGAATGCATTGAGCATTAAAAGTACAAAATATACAATTACAGAATAAGAAAGGGACAGAAACATAATGCTCACTTTCAGTTTTCTATTTTAAACACCTCCCCCCCCCCCCCCCCCCGTATTATCATAGGGCCACACTGCAGCAGGATCTACACCCAAAAGGCGTTTCTTTGCTGGTTAAATCGTGGAGCATGCTCATTGTAATAAAGAAAGAACACATTCCTTCTGATGATAATGTTTGGATCCTCTGGATGTCTGAGGGTTTGCACCATTATGCCTACACGGTATCCAGCAGGCCTTCTCATGTAGAACAGTCCACAGAGCACTAAGAAGTTGAAAACGTCTTGACTTATAAAAACGAGCGAGTACATGATGAAGGAAACCATCAGCAGTGCTGCCCCAATAACTAAGACTAATGTGTGGTTAATGCACAGGCCAACAAATTGTATCAAGGAAAGAGCGACTGCAATCCCTGATTTGGCCACTGACAATGTTACTGAAGCAGCTCCTATCAGCTCAGGACCAACAGCAACTATCCTTCGCCTCGCGCCTGAACATGCAGATGAAAATCCTTTCAGTACCTTGGGCGCAGCAGCGACTATCCATCTATATGCCACGGAATAAATAGATGAAAAAACGTCTGGTACTTTAGGAATAACACCTCCTATTCTGTATACAGTTGTAGATCCTACCAACGGCGCAAAACTACCAAAAATTCTTCTTCGAGCAAAAGGAATAATGACTGCAATCCCTAAAAGAGTAACTCCTCCTATCACATATCTATTTCCAATCATGTATGTGATGTGAGCTCTCAGCTGTTCAAGTAGAGGAAGTCCACCTCCATTTGGGGTCTGAGGTGGCTGAGGCATCCAAGGGAGCCTGAGCAACCTGACAGCCTCACTTTGATGAACCTGTTGTGTTCCCTGACCACCCTGGACACAAGGGAGGAAAGTGCTAATGGGAGCATTTCTCCAGACTTGTGTGAAAGGCCAGTTGTTGTGTCGGTGACAACAGCAAGTCCGGGAAACTGGAGCAACCTCCTCCAACTCCTCTCCTGAGCTTT